TAGCAAAAAGTACCTGGCTTTGCTCGGGTTATTAGGTTGATAGTGTGTGTGTGTATTCTGAACCTATTTTAGCACAAAAATATAACTTACACACTTTGTTGCCAAGCAACATGACATAAAAGCCACTGTTGGAATGCATAGTTACCAAAATGCACTGGCTTTTCTGTATATTAGAAGTTGTTGTATAAAGAACCACTTCTTTCCTATGTGGTTTTCACTAGCTTGCCTCATTAAAAAGAATTTACCGATGTTTTACTACCTCGACTGCACTTTTCTACCTCTTTGTTGGTCAAGCTTGATTTTGCAAAATTTATTTATTTCAGTTAGCTATCAAAGGTGAGGTTAGGGTATACTATGGGGTGGGGATGGTTGTACTTGCGCCATCATTTTTGACAAGCTATATGCTAGTCCTATAATAGTTAAAACCCTCTATAACATTCCAGAATAGTTTTGTTGCTAAGTAACAATGTATATTGTTAATCATTATTAAAAGAGGAGCGTGAAAGTGTTCTCAACAGTATAACATCCCATAATAGTTAAAACTACCATATAACATCCCATAATAGTTACAAATTACTGAATAACAACCCATAATAGGTAAAACACTATAACATGCCATAATAGTTTTGATGCTAAGTGACGATATATAATGTTGATCATTACCAAAAAAGGAGCGTTAAAGTGTTCATGACAGTATAACATCCAATTTTCTGCCTCTTTGTTGGTCAATCTTGATTTCACAAAATTTATTTATTTTAGATGTCTATGAAATGTGAGCTTAGCCCATTAACTGCGGATGACGGATATTTCCGTCACTGAAGTTCTATGGCTCAGCTGCAAATCATGGAAATATCTGTCAGTCACACATACATACAACTATAACTTTATGTGAATGACAAAAATTATCATTTTATTGTGATTGATGGTAATTCAGTTTTATCTGTGAATCAGAAAATGGCAACTGAGCTGCTCCTGTCACTGTTAATGGGTTGGGGTGGTAGTACTTGCCACATCATTTTTGACCGGCTATATGCTAGTAATAGTTAAAACCAATCTACAGCATCCCAAATTAGTTAAATGTAAAACACTAACATTCCAAAATAGTTAAAACACTAACATTCCATGGCAGACACTTTTTTTTTCTATGTGGTTTTTTTGCATAAAAAGATGTGCATATGCACACACACACACACAGATAAGTAGTAATACCTAGGTGCAGACCTTTAAGGTCCACTTAGTTGGGGTGCAAAATTTCAGGTTTCTAGGTTCTTTGCTCTTGGAGCTATGGCAGTCACATTCTTTTCTATGTGGTTTTTCGCTAGCTTGCCTCATAAAAATATGCATGCACACACACACACACACACACACACATGCACGTGGATAAGTAATAATACTCAGGTGCACACACTCAGGGTCCACTTAGTATGGGTGAAAAATTTCAGGTTTCTAGGTTCTTTCCTCTTAGAGTTATGGCAGTCGAAAACACAAACAGATCCAAAAACACACACTTTTATTATTATAGATTTCTGTAATATTCCATTACTGAATATCTACTTTTGTGTGACTAGTGAAATGAAGAAGTAATTTATATGCATGTATATACCTGAATAAATAACTATATCCACACACACACATACATACATACATACACACGTGTGTGGGTATTATACTAACAATAAATTAGTACAAAAAATTAAAACATCATACCTGAACAAACAAACATACGAGGTTTCAAATTCTTTCCAAACAATATCATGATTACATAAAATTTTACCTGTGGGAATAAAGAAGGTGCTACATTTGCAACTGCAGTCTGTCCTATATTCTGAGGGTTAGTAGGATTCTGAGGATGCACTGTGGATGGAGTAGGAGCTGAAGGAATTGGAGTAGGACATGGTGCTGGTGTAACCATTCCTTCTTGAGGTGCTGGTGTAGCAGGTGCAATTGGATGTGGCATTGGTGTTGAAAGGGAAACAGGTCCTGATGTCATTGGCATAGTTGTGGTAACCTGAATTGATGGTGGAGCCTGCATTTCAGCTGGTGACATACAGGAAAATGAAGTAGATGTTGTTATAGGAGAGGTTGGATGAGAACTTTGAGATGATAACTTGTCTGTGCTCATTCCCAACTTGAAACTAAAATGATGCACGTTTCCTACAGCTAATGTTCTGCAAAATTAATTTAAGTTGTTTAAGAATGTTAGTTGATCAATTTTCCCAAGTTTAAGTACTACCCCATAATGATGACAAAGTACATAAATCCAATAAAATATTATATTTTTATATTACTGAAGTGCTTTAGCCTATATACTATTAATCAGATGAAATTAGCAAATCCACTGTTACTGTACTTGAAAAAACCTAATGCCCTGTGTTAATCAATTGATACTGCAAAACATCTTGAGGAATATAAAGTCAGACATACAAAATACTCCTGAAATCAAGAATCAGTACAAATAAATCACACATGTTTGTTCAGAATAAGTTCATATTTTCCTTGTGACCCAATAGGTAACTTATACAGATAAATGATCAAACACATTACTGATCATGCCAAACAAGTAGAACTGCATTACAGAAGAGAATTTATCAAAAGCTTATAACTGACACAGTATAAAGTTTGATTAATTAAAGTTATTTGTCCATACTTTGCAACCAGTTAACTTTACTAGTGGTTATGCTATTTAAGTACCATATTTCAAAACTAAAACAGTCCAATATTTTGAAAAAGTGCTTACCTACTTGTGGTAGCCCTTATCCAATAACAAAATAGCAAAAGCTTAGTACTGATATAGCATAAAGTTTGATTAATTACAGTTATTCGTCCATATTTTGCTACGAGTTAACTTAATCTGTGATTTACTAGTGGTTATGCTATTTAAGTACAATAACAGTAACTTACCTTAAATCTTTTTAACATTAACTGAAAATTTATAAATTCAGACCTTTTATACAACTGACTCATAGAATAGGTCATAAACCTGCAATTGTCTGATATATTTTTTTTTAAGATACCTAAAATTTTAAATTTAGAAGCTATGATTTAAAATACTTCGAAATCTAGGTGAAAAAACAAGTTTAATTGAAAAATAAATCTATATTATAAACACAATTCAGTCACCTCATTTAATTAACTTTTAATGCAGTGAGTTATAATATAATAATTAACTTTAATTTAAATTTAAAACACTTCTAAAAAATAAGGTAACTTATTACAAAAATGTACAGCCTATACTGAAAATTCTGCAAAACTAAAATTAAAACTACTTATAAATTGATGAAATCTGCAAATGTGACTATGAATGAAATATATTAGTTCTAAATAACACAGTTCTATAGCTATAAATGGTTTAGAGTGAATATAAGATAATTTCATTTTATTTTTTACTTGTCATATATCATGAATAATAGAGGATAAGTATTACTGAGGACTTCAAAATGGCCAACAACATCACAAAACAGTAAAATGGAGGCTTCAATGACCAAGGTAATCTTGAACACACAATAACATGCTCCAAAGTTGTGTTTTAACACAGCAGATATAGAGAAAATGAAATGATACTGAATGGTTAATTTAGAATACAGAATTGATACTCACAGTAATATATAAATACAGTCTAGTTTTACAAGTTTTAAGTTTGTGTTCTAAAGGAAAGTTGATTTCCTAAAACTTTCAAAGTGAAAAAAGAAAAGTGTGTAAATTAATTTTAGTAACACTTTAAGTTGGTAGCTTCCTCTGACATTATGTGGTGGGAGATACATTTCTTCACTTATAGTCAACAGCATTTCTAGGAGTAGGAGTGGCAAAAAAGTTTAATAGGATATGGTATTTTCAAGTAAAAACAATTTCTTGACAAATATCAGAGAGGCAAACCGACAAATAACATCAGATTCAATCAAGAAATTATGTCAGTGTTCTATAGTTGATAACTTGACTGAATTTCAAGTTGTGTGAGAAATAAACAGGTTGAATACATTTAAATGACAGTGAAAACAATCTTTATTTAGAAACAACATAAAAACAATGTTTCATACCCGTGTAGAAAAGTAGAGGATTGTCTCTAGTGGATCAGTGAAAAGCTTGCCAGCTTTCCATATCTCAAGATAAACGTATGCAAAGCTAATAACAATGAAAGTCAGGTAGAACTGAACCAAGAAAGTGCATTTGAATCCATAAGATTAACTTGCTTTTTTAGCACTGTTACTACAGTGTATGGGATGCCATCAGTGTTAAAAATATGCAATTTAGAGTTACATTTAATCACTACCATGGACCTTTGATCACAATAAGTTATTACCATAGCTAAATGCAATCAGCCTGTCAACTTTTAATTGATTTTAGCTAACACCTAATAAAATTATTACAATATACACATTTGCTTTAAAAAAAAAAGAAAAGTTAAGAGTTTTGAAGTTAAGGCTGAACATTTGACTCAACTAAATTGCAGAAGATACCAAACCATTGATGAACATGATAAGATAAATCATTATTTACAACTTATCTTTCTGGATACAAATTGGATACTTATGACACCCAAAATGTACCTTCCACAGTATATTTTGTGCAAATAAGACAATCAGATTGTATGGATGTCCATGTTTCTAGATAGAAGTATTATTATACTACCTGGGAAAAAAAGGTGTTGCTAAAAGTACAGCAGTATTAATTGCATAAGCTGTCTATCACATCTGATGAAGAGAGATTCAACAGAGCAAAAATGTTGCAGTTACTACAGTGTATGGGAGTACAGAGAGTGCAAGGCTTAAATATTGACAATCCTGCAGCTTTATTTAATGACAGTTAATAAACCTTCACTGAAATTGCCAAGGTTGCATTATTCTTGACAGGAATAGGTATTTCCTAATCAAACATGCCTCACACTACTATTAAAAAAACAAAAAAAAACAGGCATGTTTATGAAGGTACCAACAACAACTTAGCAAATAGCATCTGTGCAAGTCACCTTGAGTGATTAGAATTAATACCTTTCTCTTTTTATTGGAACATAAGGTACTCCTGATTTCCTTGTGCAACTGGGATTGAAATGATCAAGACCTAGCTGTCCTTGTTGTATATGGTATTTATATCTATAGTGAGAAAAGTGGTAATTATAATTTCCTATGTAGCAAGTTTTAGTGGATATAAAATAGGTCTTTGGACTGATATATACCACAGCAACTTACTGTCTTAACTCTTTCTAATAACATAAACAATGACATCCCAACCTCAAAAAGTGTGGAGTCAAATGGAACACCTTAAAGAATGGTTTCAAAAGGATTGTTTGTTTTATGTTGATTGTGGTTCCCATAGCAACAAGTTTCAGAACCGAAATGGTAGATTTCCTAAAGGACAAGCAAAATCAGTATCCAACAAAGAAAGAAAACCATTCCAGAATGGTCAGGGTCAGATAGGTTGTTGCATCTGTGTATGGGAGAATTCAAAAATGAGCCCTTAGATATTCATACCTAACTCAAAAATCCCTTATATTAGGGATTAGATAAGCAGGGTTTGTGTATTAGGCAATGCATTCTAGCCAGCACTGACTACTACAGAGAAGAAAATAATGTCAGTTTCAATGCCAATCAACCAAGCTGCTGGAGACAGAATTGGGTAGAAGATGCTAGCCTCACAGTGTGTTGTATGGCTCATATGACTTCCGTAGCAATTCCAGACTTTTCCTGCTTTCTGAGCTTAAACAGATGAAATTGTACAATTAGAAACACTTACATTCCATCACGTGCATCAAAAACATATGATTCAAACTACTCTAGTAATGGCAAGTGATATAAAAGGCTACTTCCTACGAATTTCCTCTGGCACAGCATCAGTTAATCAATTAATACATAGCTAGTATGACTCAGTAGCAAGGACAGAGGGATGTTGTGCTCATGTTGCATCTGTTTTTGACAACTTCTAACAGCTTAGCATCATTCTGGTGTCATCAATGTAAATCAGCTTCTCATACAATACCATTAATCTTGAAATTACTAATTTGTTTTTAACATTCATTACTGGTGGGGTTCACTTATTCATCATATCAAAGAATTTTGTTTGTATGTTACAACACTAAGTAAAAAGAACCGAGTAAAGAGAACTAGGTGAAATCATATCACTGCAGGGATCAAACTACAAATATTTGCATAACAAACCAAACTTTTGAGCAAGTCACCAACAGAAGGTAATTAGTGGAATTAATTGCAGTATTGATGATATTTTGTGTTTATATAGTTTTTGCAACTTGTACACAATTAAAAACCCTGTAACTAACAAATTCACGGACTCATAAGTAGTTTTGATGCATAAACAGTTTAGGAAAATCACTGCTTGGTGGAAAATCTTAGTGATGATAGAAATCAGTGATACAAAAATACAAGTGATCCAACTAAGCAATGACTGTTTTTTCCCAGTCTTATAATTGTTTGTAATATTTGTTTCATCTCACTATCATGAATTATTTATAGTCTTGAGTTAATTTACAGATATCTGGTTATAGTACACACATTTTCAATAGTAAAGTGACCATTGTTTGCCTGTTTACCTAGATACACATCAAGTACATTATGCACATGGAAGTATAATGGCACTACTTACTGGAAGGAATATAATTTTCTATATTATGTAAACTTGAGTAAATGTGTTATTAAATGACAGTTTGATTCAAGTATGTTTATTCCACATATACATTTATAGTGTATAAATATTCAAGCAAATCACAATACAAGAATACCCCAAAACTCAAGATTTCAGAAGGTAACCTTCCTTCGAAGAGTGTTTGTTGTTTAGCGCAAAGCTTCAAAATGGGCTATTCTACTGTTCCCATGTGAGATATTCAACCCAGAAGTTTAGCATTACAAACATTTAAGCTACCACCAAGCCACCAGTGAACTCAAAAAAGTGAATATGATAAGGAAAGTGTACTTTTTGAAAGTGATCAGATTTTCAGATGTCCTGTATTGCAATTTACCATTTTTTTTTTTTATCTTCCATTATTTCTTGGTGTTACAAATATTCAGCTGTACACTTCACACACAAATAGGGAAGTTTATTTATCAGATCTGCCTATATGTAAGCATTTACTTTCACATTTCTTCCTAATTGCGCCAAGTATCAAAACGAAATGCTCTTAAACATTCATCACATGGAAATAATTATAAATGACTTAAGTTGC